CAGAGTGCTGGTCAGAGAGATTTGTACCTGCAAGTGCTAAGCATTATTTTCATTCCTGTTTGGCTCAGTTCTGGCAGCTTTGATTTTCTTTTCCTCTATTGGCTGTCTAAAGAACTCACTGCTTATTGAATGAGTGTATGGAAAGGCTTTCTTCCTTGCTAGAGAAGCAAGTCAGCATTTAAGTGCAAGCCTAAAACAGTGTCAGCGTGTAGGTACACAACTGGACTCATTTCAAAAGTGGAACTGTAGATTGCAATTAAGATCTTACTGCCTGTGACTCTTGCTTTTCTCTTTAGTGTTGTGACCGTAACATGCTACAGTGCTGATGGGTGGATTATACATGCTCATACACAGCAATTAGACAGGTCAACACAGTGGGAAAGGTGTTACAACAACAGTGTGATGATGCAAGGACCAGCACAACAGAAAGGTGCTATGAAGGAAGGGAAGAAAATTGCTCACCTGTATCAGAAGACTCCAGGTTCACAGGGAAAAACTCCACCAAGGGGGATCTCCAGGAAGAGATCCTTCCCCAGTGGCAGTCAGCCCTTCAATGGGGTCTAAGAGAGGTGCAGCCAGGCTCCACTCCTGCTCACACAGCTGCATTGCCTTCACCTGTGCTCCCAGGGCTGACGGGTCCTTCCCACAGGTCTCCATCAGTGGGGCAGGCCGGGACTCAGCAGTTCCCATATAACTGTCTTTCAAGGAAAAGTGTATGTTCTGTGTGTAACTGTCTTTGTGGAACTTGATGAAGGGGACAAGTGCTTGAAATGCATGAACAAACTGCAAATACAGTTCCAATTCACTCCCAGGAAAACAATCTCTCAGCAGCTTCCTAGGGCCACGTTGGGCAATGTAAGTAGAGGAATCTTGCCGCAACTGTCCCTAACACAGTAACAGTCAGCTGATTAACGTGTCTCTGTGAACGCCAACCCTTTGCCACCACAAGGAGCGGAGATTGTCTTGATGCTGCTGCCCCACAACGGGCAGACGGTGTAAATCCGCATGCTGACTCCGAGCTCTTTGTTTCCGCAGTGCCTGCAGGCACTACAGTTTCTACACAGAGCCCTATTGTGGAAAACCAAACCTGAAATCCATGGATCAGCCCCGAAAGGCACCTGTCATCCATTCCAACCCTATGATGGCAGTGGTGTTACAGTCATTTCCAAGGTGACCACGTTGTTCCATCCTCAAGTCATCTCTTATGCTTTCCCACTATCTGCCACTGATAACTTCAAATACCGCTATCACTTTTCTCATCCCCGCTACTCACTGGATTATTTACTATGGACGAGGCAGAGGAGCTGATGTGGCTGACAACAGTTGAGTGCTGTAGTGCTCATCTAAGTGCAGAGCAGAAACCCACAGTTAATTAACTGTATTACCTTTATGCTGTAGGGAGGTTTGGTTGACCTTGAGATCTTGATAAATTTGGCTTTTGAGAAAGGCTGGGCAAGTGTTGAATGGTGAATCCTGGTGTGAGTTATGAGCTGAGGTCATATAAATACAACGTTCTGACCGCAGCCCCAGAGCTGCTATGCGGTGAGCCAGCGGCCCGCGGCGAGGCGGGCTTGGGGCTGACGGAAACAGCCGGGATGACACTGAAGTGCGCTACAGTTATGTCCACGCCGTCCAAAAAATGCTTTAGGACAGCTGCAAGGCCAGCGGGCGGTTTCTCGCGTACCGTTGGCTGTCTCGGTGTGACCAACTGAGGAACCTGCGAAGAGCACAGCGCAACGCAGCGGCTGAGCACAGACCCGCCCGCTCAGCCTCTCGGCTCCCACAGCCGCCCCGTGAGGGAGGCGCGCGCTGACCGTTAGGGCGCGAGGAGCAGCGCTCAGCGGCACCACACGGCGGCGCTCTATGGTCGAGGCGTGGAAGAAGGCCGCGGGATGGGGCGCTCTTGCCGCGCTCTCTGTGGTACGTGACCTCATCAGTCTGCGACGGCGGCGACAGCCGTGGCGACCGGAAGCTGTGTGTGTGTGGGCACGGCACGGTACTGTAACGGCGCGCCGTGACGGGGGTGAATGCGGCAGCGATCCGGGTGGGCCGCGCGGGGTGAGGCGGGCGGGGTGTGACAGGAGGGCCCCTCGGGCCTTTATCCGTGCGTGTCGCGCCTAATGGATGTTCTCCTTCCAGAGCGTTCCTGCTAAGGTCGCTTCCTCGCAGACATGACCACACAGGTAAATCGAAACATGGCGTTACTCAAACTGATCGCTACTCGGATGGATTTTTAGGCTGTTTATGCGTAATACCAATTGTTTTTTCTTTCTAGTATGGTATTCTCTTCAAGCAAGAACAAGGTGAGAAGGCACTAACTTGTACTTCTTAATTCTGGCTTCCTCGGGTGTTGTAGAACAGATTTGTCACTGAGATCATTAGGGGTGTCCATGTTATGTGTACATGAGAGCAGATTTTCAGCAGCAGACAAAATAGCTGTTGTGTTCAGAGCAATGAGAGCTGGGTGTTGCTGCTGCACAGCAGGCAGCTCTTCCTGACCAGCAACAGGGCGACTTGTTTTGCTGATTGGACTCTCATGCATTCTGAAGCTGTCCTGGGAAAGGTGTACAGGCACTGTGGCTGCAGTGGTGTGTTCCTGCAGCAGCAGGTGCAGTAGACTTAGGATCAGAGCCACCATGATTTCTGCCTGATAAAACTTCCTTCTGTAAAATTTTCTACTAGGATGCAGATATTGGGACATGCAGTCTTAAAATGGTAAGACAACACACACAGGAAGAGTAATTTCCTGTTTTCATCTCCTTGCTGGGGGGGAAGGATCTGTTTTGTTTTTAACAAAGTACTTCAAGATGCAATAGAGCTTCCAATCTGCTGGGAGTAACTGCTGTAAAAATTAACATGCTTAAAGTTTGTCTTGTTGGATGATTCTTGTGTCTTCATCAGATAGCTTGCAGGAGATGGACAGTATAACCTTAGCTCTTTTAGTACACCTAAGGGCTATTAAACAACTTACATGGTAATTAATGCTAATTAGGAGACAGCCCATGAAGTAGCAATATCATATAACTGGAGAGAGAGACAGGGAACAAGATGACAAGGAGAGTAAGCAGTATGAGTAACAATGGCAGGGTTAGGGTATAAGGAAATAAAATAATCAAAAAACAAAACAGAAAAATGGGACGGGACCTCCTGGAGCTCCCAGTCAGAGCTAAAGTCTTGTTGTAAACTAGATAACAACAGAATTATTGCAATTGTATCATTGATTAAGATACAGATATCTATTTGAGAATGGTAATAAAGAAGGGGTCTGCATTGAGATGATGCTCCTCTTGCATTAGGCTTGTTTATTTGGAGCTTTCTGTGTGTAGAATATTGCTTCTGCATGTGCTTAGCAATTCTCCCTTTTGTAGGCACAGTTTATCTGTGTTTGCCTCAGGCATGGAACTGCGTCACATCAAGATGTTCATTGGCCTATCTGCTCTGCAGGAAGTAAAAACTGGTTGCTATCTTACATCAAAAGAAAATACTTCTAGTTTCAATACTTTCATTCTCTTTTAGCTCATGATGATGCCATCTGGTCAGTTGCCTGGGGAAAGAATAAAAAAGATGGTTCTGAAACTGTGATCTCTGGTTCTTTGGATGATCTTGTGAAGGTCTGGAAGTGGTAAGTGAAGTGCTTTGTATTGGATGCTATGAGCAGTTTTAACTCTGGGAAGTAGTTGGTATGGAGTTACAGCAGTCTTAAATTTGCACAGGCTGCAAGGATGTTAGAAATTACATCAGGGAAGGGGTAGCATAGCATACAGCTCTTCTCTTGAGCAGACCTTATCTTTTTCTTTTATAGTGGTAGCATTCTGGGATGCTTTACATTTTTAAGAACACAAACTCTTTTGAAAACACACATCACATTTTCTATGTCTTTTACCACATAGTGGTAGGACTTGTTGCACTTCGAAGCCAAAGAATTAGAAATGCAACTTTTTGAGGTAATGCATGGGGAAGGAATGTGTCTACTGTGAAATGAATAATGGGAGCAAAATAAAAAAAGGAAATGTCATCTTTCTTTCTTATAAAAAGAATAAATCCATAATCCTAATAAATTAGCACTGATGTGTACTACGGCAAAGAATTTTTTCTCTCCCATAAGAAGACAGGTATGTGCTTCACTTTAATTACTTGAGTTGCTGTGTTGTGATATTATAAAAGTGTTTGTCGTTGTTTCATGTTACGGTGGCAGATGAAGACTGTAATGTAAGTACTCATATATTGCTGTGGAATGGTGATACTTAGAAATGCAAAATGAAGTACTTACTTTGCATAAATATGGTAAATAATTAATTTGTTGGTTCTTTCCTTTGAGTACCGTAAACAATTTGTGCATTTCTGTCTTTGCTTTTCACTTAGATTGCCCCCCGGCTGACCGAAATGGAGAACTGTGGGTCGTCTTGTTTGATTGTTCTGTCTGAGGTTTGAGACTGATAAAGTACCCCTCAGCTATTCATAACTTTTTTTTCCCCTCTGACAAAAGGAATGATGAAAAATTGGATCTACAATGGACGTTGGAGGGTCACCAGCTAGGTGTGGTGTCTGTGGATATCAGCCACACGGGTTCCATCGCAGCATCCAGCTCCCTAGACGCCCACATTCGCCTTTGGGATTTAGAAACTGGCAAACAGATCAAGTCAATAGATGCTGGCCCTGGTAAGATACCACTGTTATGCTGTCTGTGTTATGTGTTCTAACACCAGGTGGTAAATACTGGACAATGTATAACTAGAGTACATGAGATGACTGGAATTTTTTCCTAATCTTTCTTGCAAAATCTTAAATTCTTAATGATTTTTACCAACTCATCACAAAGTAGTATTGGACAGTTTCACATTTACACACTATTCATGCTTACACTTGATACATTTTTTGGTAGATACTGTAACAATTGGACAGATCAATATGATGGGAAAAGCTGGTTTACCAGAGGGGTAATGACAAAAGGATTGGCACAATAGAAAGGTGCTATAAAGGAAGGGAAGAAAATTGCTCACCTGTATCAGAAGACTCCAGGTTCACAGGGAAAAGCTCCACCAAGGAGGGATCTCCAGGAAGAGATCCTTCCCCAGTGGCAGTCAGCCCTTCCATGGGGTCTAAGAGAGGTGCAGCCAGGCTCCACTCCTGCTCACACAGCTGCATTGCCTTCACCTGTGCTCCCAGTGCTCCCAGGGCTGACGGGTCCTTCCCACAGGTCTCCATCAGTGGGGCAGGCCGGGACTCAGCAGTTCCCATACAGATACATAAAGCAAAATGGAATCCACCTTGCTCTTACACATATATAAGGATATGTAAAAAAAAAAATCGCAATTCAGACTGGTTATAAAGTCTGAACTTGCTGTTGACATCTAGTTGTGCATTGAATTTGAGCTGTATATGTGATGCTTATTTCTGCAGTACATCCAGGCCTAAAGGAGCAAGTCAATTTACAGTAAAGCTGAAGCCTGTTGATCGATGTTGCATTCTCCAAGTTGAAATGCAGATTATTTCATTCTTGTCTTATTTCAAATATGTCATTGATCCACAGGCAAATCTTTTATTTAGGAACAATTTTTGAGTGCTTCGGGTAATTAATAAATTATTAATAAATTAATAAGCAGGCCTGTAGAAGTGCCTGAATTACATTGTGCCAGGTAAACACATCACCTAACTCTCAGAAGATTTTTTAATTCACTCACAAGGCATGTTGATCCCTGTTACATTCTTTTATCTGCATCTTTCTCCTGTGTTGTCAGTGCTTTGCTAACTGCTAGCATTTCTTTCTTTTACTGGCTTAGTATCTTCTGTCACGAGGAGAAAAGAATTCAGACTTCACTCAGTCTTAATTCTAAACCTGTCGTTACAGGAGGAGCTTCTAAAACCAAGATCTTGGAAGAAAATAGCATTTTTCACTAAACTGAAATAAACGTTTTGTGCTGCACTGCGTTAATTATGTAGAAGGAAGTTAACATTAATGAGCTGGTCCACTGTTACTCAGTGGAGTTTGGAGTATTCATAGTACAAACGTACGCATCCAGAACTGACATCGTTGGATAAGGACCAGCAGAAGTACTCAGATAACTGAATGTTTTGCTGTTGGTTTTTTTTTTTAATACAGTTGATGCTTGGTCCCTGGCTTTTTCACCTGATTCCCAGTTCCTTGCAACAGGAAGTCATGTGGGAAAAGTAAATATTTTCGGTGTTGAAACTGGAAAAAAAGAATATTCTCTGGACACTAGAGGAAAGTTCATCCTTAGCATTGCATATGTAAGAAACACAGTTAATTTCTTACGTGAAATATGTTGTAATATGTTGTCAATCAGATTTTGTTCTTCCTTCAGCTACTTTCTATGTAACGTTGTCAGCCATACTGTCTGACAAGGTGCCAAGAGCACTGGGGAGGTACATAGCAGGAATTCTTACAGCTGTTAAATGCACCCTTCTTGCCTTGTCTTACAGAGCCCAGATGGAAAATACTTAGCCAGTGGAGCAATAGATGGCATTATCAATATTTTTGATATTGCAACTGGAAAACTTTTGCACACGCTAGAAGGTAATGAGTTGTGTATTTGCATTATCTAAGTTATTGTTTCACTCAAGAAAATTGAGGGATTTAACAAGACATTATCAGATAGAACAGCCATGGCATAAGTGATGTTTCTTTTCCGTTAGATCTTATTTATGTAATGTATTCTAACACGTAATATAAACTCAGGCTTGTAGTATAAATGCCTACCTTAAAATGTAACTATTTGCTTCTTGTGTTGTGCAGTTATGTATTGCACAAATGAGGCAAATTGTGCTACTGTGCATGTGATTTTTTTCTTCTCTTTAACGTGTCAGAGAAAACAACTGAACATGTTGTAAAAGATGCACATTTTTAAGATAAATGTGCTTTTAATGTTCATGCAATTGTGTCCAGTGTATAATAGAGCCCAGCAACTTCAAACATGATGAACTCATGTTTGAAAGTATGATGCTCGTCCTATTAGAAAGCAGTGTGAGATCAGAAAATTGTACGTTTTCCTACATTGCTTCTAATTAAGATCCACAGCTGTGAGAACAGGAGGGTGCTTTTGTGTTGGTGTAGACATGCCTCAGCATTCAAAGCTCTGAACTACCTCCAGTTTACACTGTTATGTTTGTTATATGTTTATGTATGTTATATGTTTATTATGTTTATGTATGTTATATGTTATATGTTTACACTGTTTATGTATGTAATATGAAGAAGCAAAAGCAGAGAGGTTGCTTTCTTTTAAAAGTGCTGTTCTGGCATAACTCCGTACTGTTGCTGTCATTAGTAGCTGAAGAGCTACATTGTAAGCCATGAATGCTTCAATTTCAGGTCATGCGATGCCTATTCGTTCACTGACATTTTCTCCAGACTCTCAGTTACTTGTAACGGCTTCAGATGACGGCTACATCAAAATCTACGATGTGTGAGTTGGCATTTTGCAACACATGATAACAGTAAAGTAACTACTTTGGAAGGCCAATGCTGTAATAAATATACCAAACTCTCCACTCTTGGTAATCCTGTCCAGCTCTTGGAGATCACTTTATCTAATAAATAACCTTAGCTTAAGTACTAAAACACAAATCCTCCAGTTTTTACAAAGCACTTAGGTGAATGGCAGCCTTAGCTTGCAAACAAATGACTTTTTTCATATTTGGCCCTGTAAGGAACAGGTTGCTTTGTGTATCTGTCCTGTGTATTATCTTAAACATCTGTACCCAAGAAATGATATTGTATATGACCTTTTTCTCTTGCACTATGCCAACCACCTCAGTGGTCTTTGCTCCCCTACACTTGCACTACTGTGCCTTCTTCATAGAAGTTTTTCAGGTCCAACTGTTTCTTCCACCTATGCATCTTTTTAGTGGCCTCTTTTTAACTCTTGAAATGGAAAAAAAAAAAATTATTTCAACACCATTCTACTTGGATGAAAAAATGTCCAGAAGTCACCCTCTGTAATCTTTCTGTTGAACTGTTAGGAGTACAGTAACACCACAGTATGAGCTGATTGCTTTTTCCCTGGAGGGAAAGAAGGCAAATATTGATGTTATAATTCTGTTTTCTAAATTTGTTCTTTCTACAGACAGCATGCCAACTTGGCTGGCACACTGAGTGGTCATGGATCCTGGGTATTAAATGTAGCATTTTGTCCTGATGATACCCACTTTGTTTCCAGGTACTAACAAATTTAAAATCCTTTATGCTTATTTAAAAAAAAAGGAATTATAAAGAGAGATGGATCATGAAGTAGCTGTGTTTGAACATTCCAGTAACAGGCTGAGGAGACAATCTGCAACATAGTAGCAATTGAACACGGTAAGCCATCCCAGTGCAGGGTAGTTCCCTCAAAGTGAAAAACATCTGAACCTCTAAATGAGCAATTTGATTCTAGAGATCTGAAAAGCTGTATTAAAAAAAAAAAGAAAAAAGTACAATCCAATGTAGTATTGCATGTTGATGTAGTAGAGTAACAACTCTTCAGACAGCTCAGACAAGGTGACCCAGGTTTACATAACATGCATTTCTTTATCTTTGTATCAAGGATCTTGGAAGAATTTTCTGGCTAAAATGGGAACCCTCAATTTTATCTTGCATATACAGGACCAGTGAACTTATTTTATAGGTCACTGGAACCTGCTGGAAGACACGTGTCTTTGTTACTGAACTGCAGTTAATCTATTAATTTAGGTGTTGATCAATATTACCTTTTCAGTTCATCTGATAAAAGTGTGAAAGTTTGGGATGCTGGAACAAGAACCTGCGTTCATACTTTCTTTGACCACCAAGACCAGGTATGTTAGCAACTTAAAACTGTTCTGTCTACTCTTGCTTTAGTCTCCATCTTAACAGGAGAACTTAAGGTGTGCAGTTATCTGCACTCGTGTTTAAAATTAGAACTATAGCTTTGGGATTTGTCTTCATTTTGCTATAATGAAATCCTCAAATTGTTAGTAATTTTTAGATACTTAATATCAAACTAATACTTCAAGGATATAGATAGATGTCTTCCACAACTCATTTTTAGAGGATCAGATGAGGACAATCCCAGATGTCTGAAGGAATTCTTATCAAGCCCTATTGTTTTATCTTTCTCTGTGGTCTTACAACTTCAGACAGCACACAGATGTGTAAGGGGGAACTATTATAAAAGCTTGATAAGCATCCTTGATACTTGAGACTTCATCCTTAAGTGTCTGTACTGTTATTGTAGACTCCTCAAGAGAGCAATGTAAGAGCACATAAATCAAGCTTCTGTGGTCAGGAGGAAAGTAAAGCCTTTTCAGCCAACTAGAGGGCACACTGCTATTAAAAGCAAGAGGTATAACTGAACCAGCTCCAGTGTGGCCTTCCTAAACGATCCCCTTTTGCTTCTTCTAGTCTGTATAACTTGCTGCAAAGACAAATACATTTTTGCCTTACCATCTTCCCTGATAATCTTCCTTATGTCCTGTTTGCAGGTTTGGGGTGTGAAATATAATGGAAGTGGGTCCAAAATTGTGTCTGTTGGAGACGACCAAGAAATCCATATTTATGACTGTCCTGTTTAAGTGTCTTGAGTTAAGTGCTTTGGCATTTCTTAGAAATACTGCAGTCCTTGTATTATTACCTTTTTAATATTAAAAAAGCATTTTAGTAATGCTCAAGAAATGAAATATCATTTGTAAATTCAATACTGTTTAGCATGGGAGAAAGCTTTACTTTTTTAAAAATAAAAGCTACCACTGCAATTAATTTGTGATTTTTGGAGAAACATTTTTAGAAGGATACAGTCATGCAGAATAACTGCTCAGTTAATCTACCACTGGTATTTGTTCCCTGCCTTCACAGAAATAGATGACAGCTAGAAATTGTTGTTCAAGCTGGTCAAACTTATTTTAGGAGAAGGGAAAGTGACAGACATTAGGATATGCTTTACTCATCTTCACGTTGCTCCTGAAAGTGAGAGAGGGTCATTTAAGTTGAACAGCTGTTCCAATAATTGTATGGTGACAGGTGCCTGATCATGGTTTAATCTCAGTAAGGGGCAGTACACCTCTTTTCAACTCTGACTTCAGTGATTCTGCTGCAGGAAAAACAGCTCAGAGGGATAAGTCATTTTACTATGCTATTTCATGGTATTAGAAATGGGAGGAGCATAGCCAAGGCAGGGAGTTTTGTAATAACATTCATCTTAATCAAAGCTAAAGTACCTACTGCCCAAAGGAAACAACACTTTCTAGAAAAGGCTGAGGTATGATCTCTCAAAAACCTAAGTTCTGGTTTTATTTGGAAGCATGATGGTGTATGTCATTCTGAAGCACATACAGGCCACTATGCAGATTAAGGTTGTAGATCTGCAAGTTGTTACTTACATAAAGCTGAGCATTAAAAGAATACTAGCCTATTGTAGAGTAGAGGGAAAAGATTATTATGGAGAAAGAACACTTGATATACAAGAGGAATACAGCTAACAGGGTTGCAACATGCAAAGGTAACCATACAAAGAGAGCAGGGACTTGAATTTATTTAGAGATTCTAGATTGGTTGAAGAAGTACAACAAAAAAAAAACAAAAGGTGAAGTTCTATTTATTAGAAGTAACTTCTGCTATGTTTTATTCTATGAAATTAATTTTTCAGTATGAAAATATTTACATAAGACACTACTCAACTTCTACCAGTATTGTGAGAGTCTTATATAAATAGCATCAGTGAAATAAACTGAGAACCTTCAAAGCACAAGGAAACATACCAACTCAGTTGGTTCTCAGCTGTGTGACATTTGCTTTATATATAAAGACAAGAACACAATATAAATTAGTTACAAAAAAAAAAAAAGTGATACTGACAGCGCAGCAACTCAATTTGCTGAACACAAAGACCACAAGCAGTGGCTATTACAGCCATGCAGTTTTCATTGTGAAAATTTACATTTTAGGCAATATCAACTCCACCTCAATTTAAGATGTCTGACACTGTACACCTGTTCTTGGACCATCCTCATCTTCTTCATATACTTCTCCTCCACTGTTACGGTAGGTTTGCTCGCTTGGGTCAAAATCTTCAAGATCTACTTGATCCATCTCATCTGTAATCATGACATCTTCTCTTGGAGGAAGTAGAGCCT